CGATTAAATTATAAATATTTTTCAGTAAAACCATAAATATTTATGTCCAAAAATTATAATTCATGCAGGTAAACCAAGGCAGGAAATGATTTCAAGATTTTTATTTCTTGTTTTCACTATCGTGGGATCCGCTCCTATCCGCTTAGGTAAATATTGTCTATTTAATGGGGGAAATTAATAATATTTATGTCTCTTTCAAAAAAAGAATATTTATGTATTAAAAAAATTGTGGTATATTATAGAAACTTTTATATTAATATAATATCCCATTAAAATCACGTTTAGGTAATATTAAATTGTTTATATATTATCATATTAATCAATAATTGTACTAATATAAGTTTTACATAGCATTATTGAACCAAAATCAATGCCCTAAATCACGCTACATGCCAGAAATCTGACAGTTATGTGTGAGTTTATATTATTGCAGTATCATGTGCTAACAATTTGCTTTGAAGAAATTTTTTTTTATTTTTTTTTATTCATGCGAAGTTTATCGCACCAAAATGACATTGCGGACTACATAATATGGGTTACTATCTTCTTAACTCTCCGAATTTGAGAAAATTTATATGGTCAAAATGATTAGAATTTGAGAACTTTCACTCCTCATATAAATATAAAAAACGGCTATATCATACTTAAATCACCGCCTTTCAATAATTAATTACAAGTGGCATATGAGGATATGTGCTCCAATCCACTTCTTTTCAATTTTTAATCACATAAGCAGAAGTATTGCTGCAACTACCATAAAATATAAGTTATATTAACTTAAAAATAAATATTTTTAAGAATTGAACTGGACATAATTGGAATGGTATAATACTCTAGACAGAGACAAGAAGGCCCTTTAGGTCGAATTTTTGGGCTGAAGCCTAACCCGACATTCGTATGGGCTCAACACGACAATGACGTAAATGGACTTCTGGTCATTATTGCTAATGAGAAAAAGCTCTCAAGGCCCAATACACTTGGCATGGAAAGGACAAATTACTAGTTGCGGCAAGCAACTACTCCATTTATGCCGTTAATGTCCGCATCAGCTTGCTGATTACTAAATAGTAATGATAATTTACATTATCGTCTTACAGTCAAATCAAGGTTGTCATCCTCGAACGAAGACTTCGAGGAGAGTTTTTCTTTTTGTTCTGTAATTTTTTTTACCTGAAAACAAAACACCATAGAAATAGAATTAAAATGGCTGATGATGTATGACGAAAGGCCCTTTGGCTTTGATTGTCTTGTCTAGTTAAGGAAATGCATGCAATCTGCGGTATTTCCATTTACAAAAAGTTTTTTTTTTTTTTTTGAGTGTAATATAATCTTATCTTTATATCTGTCTCCAAAATTTCTATTGATAATGACTTAACAGAAATATTATTTTTGATCAATTTTTTTTCTAATTATTATCCTTTTAATTTTATATGTATATTTCATTAGAACGTATATCCATTTTTTATTTTTTTTTTCAAATATAAAAATTATTCGTAGGATAAAATTTGAATGTTAAAGTTAATAATTTATAGATTTACAGATGATTTTCAGTGTTTTACATTATTTCTATTATACAATAAATTCTGTCATTATAGCTTATAAGAAACAATGGGAAAGATATTTGTTAAATACCTTTCAATGGTTCATAAATTCAAACCTTACATTTGGACCACTATGCTTGGAAAATCCTACAACTCTTAAAAGAGAATCTTCTACTTAATTACATAAACAATTTATTTAACATAATAATATTTTTTATATCATATATCTTAATTTCTAGCATAAAAACATTAACTGTTCTTTAATAAAAATTATCTTTTCATTAGCTTGTTCATTATATATATATATATATATATTTTAAATAGTCAAACCCTGTGTCATGTTAAATTTTGACTCTTATGTCTATGATATTGAAGCAAGTTGATAATGTTCATGGCACACCAACCAAAGTCTTGCCTTCGGTCTGAATTTTTGGGATCAAGCATCAAACAATTGATAATGCCGGCCATTTCGTCCAAATTTTATATATTAAATTTAATTACAATTTTCTTTTGCCAATCCATTTAACTAAATTGAATGGAATTGTGACAAGTTTTGAATTGTTCTCCAGGTTGGACTTTCATTAATAATGTAATAATTATGATTAATATATAATCAAGTTGAAACACCCTTTGGATTAACTAATTAATACTGTGGTCCTTCCACACCAAAATAAACTAACTTTACTTTATTTTGCAACTTGTCAAACCATATAATAATCATTTAATTTTTCATTAAACTCACATAGTTGGCCTCATCTCTTATCCAGTAATTGAAACGTAATGTGGGACACGAGTCTCATGTTTCTGTAGCAACCTTACGTGGTTGACATGTCATGCTGAGTCAGACACACATAGACGTGGCTGTACTTTTTTGCTGATTGTACCGGTTTTGATTGGTGCATATTTTTTCAACATTTTTAAATTCAAGAGTGAAGTCCTTAGCCACTTGTTTCAATTAATTAAATCAAATATATATAAAAAATAGCATATGTTATTTTATATTTTAATATAACCGATGGGTAGGAAATTCTTTCATTAAATTATATAGGATTTGAGACTTGATTGTATTCTAATGAGAATTATCTAATCCTATTTGTCTCTTTATTTATTTAAATTAAACAAGACTCACTCGTTAAATTAATATATCAAAAGATTAATTTATTTGATTTAATAAATAATTCTTATAATTAATACTCAATCATTTTGAACTCTCTTTAAATTGAAAATTTTAAATTTTATGAAATTTGTTATGTGTGGTTTATAATAGCACAGGTATGTGATATTGTTATTCCTACCCTTCAGAATTTAGCTGTTTGACAAATATGAGACATGGATTTGTCAAAATGCAATAATGAAAAAAAAAAAAAAATAGTGTTTATGGTTGTCAATTTAGATATTTTAAGGTTTGGTCCTATCAAATAGTCTTAAGAAAAACAAAGAACATAAAAGGATATGTCTTTTCAAAGGGTTTGGTCCAGCTAGTCATTTTCTATTTGCTGCTTACTAGATTTTTTTAATAAATTTCACTTATTTAAAATTCTTAATAGTAATAAAAGTGAAAGCTAAAATTACTTATTTAAAAAATTATGGTGATGTGTACTTAAATAATGTATTATAATTTCATGTAATGAAATATAATTTCACTTCTTTTAGAAAAAAATAATTTAATTTGGAATTAATAACATTAGAAACTTACTCTTCCTGAAATTACATATATAAAAAAGATTTTTTATTATTTTGGAAATAAAAAGTATTTATTTCGTCTACTCATCAAGTATGATTTTTAAAACTAAAACGCAATACTAATTTTGTTTTTAATTTTTTTTAATGATTAACCTCAATTTTGGATAAATTTGCAATTTGGACGAATCGCACTCTTGAAAAATTCAAAACATCACACATTTTTCAATGCATAGACCAAATGCAAACGTACGTATTTAGACTCATATTAACAGGGACACAATTGTCTTTTTCATTTTTTTTTTTTTAAGGAAAAGATACTGCATAGGAAGAAAATCTAATACCATTTCTGAAATAACATCCCAAACATCAAAACGAGCATTACCATAGGAGTCTCGAGCTGACAGGTGAGTCTCCATATTATAATATAAATTTATAATAAGAAACAATTAACCGAAACTCAATATTATCAGTTTAAAAAAAAAAAATACAGCCCAAATGGGAAAATGAAGCAACGACAACGCAAATACCCAATCAAGGCAATTTACGTAAAGCTAAAGCTTCTGCCGTTTTGGCAGCTCCATAACTACGGAAGTAACCTGAAAATTTCCTTCTTGGTCTTCAAACAATAAATATTCTAAGAAAGTTTCCAAATTTTTCTTTTTGTTAGATATTATCTAAATAAATATCCGAATAACATGTTAGTTTCTGTAAAAATAAAATAAATGTTTTACTGGAATTATTTTTTTTTCTCCACCTAATTTACAATATTTATCAAGTATAATTTCGTGTAATATTTAATCGAAAATTTAGGATTTCTATAAAAATAAATTTTTTGAAAAGAAAAAAATAAAATGGAAATTCTTGAAAATGGGAGAAATTAAAATGTGGTATTGGAGTAATTATTATTTAACAAAACAATATTATTTCTTTTTTTTAATTCATTATAGACTTTTATAGATCGAAAGAACACTGCAGGCTACACAACAAGGATAACTTTCCTTTTTGCTCACCAAATTGGTAAAAATAAGTGTGGTTGAGAGGATTTAAATTTGAGATCTCATACTCCTTATATAAGTGAAAAGACCAACCGAACTATCTAGTTTTGTAATAATATTATTTCTCTATCTTCCAAAAGTAGGCTTACTTCAAATTAAAAATATATATATATAAATAATAGTTTTGAATTTGATAGAAAACTTTACCTACACTTTTTCTACTATGTCTCTGTCTTAAACTAGATATCATTTTCAATAAAGAATTCAATGAAAAAATTATTAATAAAGAATTCAATAGAAAAGTATTAATAAAGAATTCAATAATAAAATATTAACAAGCATATTAAATAGAAATATACTAAAAAAATTAAAAAATAATTTTTCTCCCAAAAAGGAGGTCACTTATAACTCAAGATAAATGAAAAAAAAAAAGAAAATAAATTCATATTTATGAGATGCAAGGATCATAAATAAGTTAGCATTCAATTCAAAATTTAAAAATGAAATCAATATTAAAAATAAAAAAACAAAAAAATTGTTAATTAGATAACTTTAGGGGCATAATTGACAAATAAAAAATCTTAAATTGGTCGGAACTCCCACAATTATTACATTTTATTTGTATTAATCTATCCATAGATTTAGATTTGCAGATTACGCAGTCCATGGTGGGAAAGTACAGTTGTTAATTACTATTAATTAAATTAAATAAGAAAATTTGTCATCTTTAATTTAATATATTTTAATTTTATCTTCCATAGCTCAGAAATTGCTCTGTTTTCTGTCAAAATCAAACAACTCTGTTTTTCTCACAGCCAAAAACAGAACAGACAAAACAGTCTCTGCTCTGCTCTCCAAATGGTATACGCGTCTCTCTACAAGTACCCTTTACCTTCGCTTTCGCCACCTCTCTCCTTCCCTCTTTTTCTCCATTAAATCTTATGTAATTTTCTATATTCTCTGTTTCTGCTTTCTTCTTCTTCTTCTTCTTCTTCATGGGTGCTAATCTATCTTCCATATTCGTTGACCCAAATGCTCTTTCTCTTTATGGCTCTTTATCACCTCAATCCACAACGCTAAAACCGACTCTTGGGGACTTGCCAGAGGGCTGTGTTGCTTCGATTCTTGCTTATTTAGAACCACCAGAGATATGCAAATTGGCAAGATTGAACAGAGCATTTCGTGGAGCTTCTTGGGCTGATTTTGTATGGGAATCGAAATTGCCTGTAAATTATGTTCGTATAATTGAAAGAGTTTTTGGTGATGATTTGCCAAGGAAGTTGAGTAAGAGAGAGATTTTTACTCGATTGTGTAGAGCTAACACTTTCGATGGTGGAACAAAGGTATGGGTTTCTTGGTATTTCTGGCTATTCTTCTGTTTGGATGGTGAGAAAGTTAGGGATGACCGAATTGTGGGCACTGTTTGAAAGAGAAATATTGGAAATTTGGAATTTTAACTGCCAATTAGAGTATATAATTCTCAAGTTATAATTACTAATATTATTTTTTTACATGTACATCTGCTGAATTTCTGTAGCTTTTTGTTAGAGAAAATTCTCAGAAAGAAAAGTGCTAGAAAAAGGCTTAAATTTTCATGTTTGACCCATGTGAATTCTACCCATACTATTTATATTACATAAAGAATTTTTACTTTATCTGTTAGATAAGACTTGAAAGATGTTACCTTTTGGCTTAAATCTGAAGTTTCATTTATTTAGAAATAAAGACCTAATAATACAGCAATAAGAGTCAAAATTTGGGCATTATACATTTTGAAAATTTCGATTTGTTTATTTCTGTTATGGATTTTCTCACTGATTGGTCTGTGAACAAGTTATAATTACTAATATTATTTTTTTACATGTACATCTGCTGAATTTCTGTAGCTTTTTGTTAGAGAAAATTCTCAGAAAGAAAAGTGCTAGAAAAAGGCTTAAATTTTCATGTTTGACCCATGTGAATTCTACCCATACTATTTATATTACATAAAGAATTTTTACTTTATCTGTTAGATAAGACTTGAAAGATGTTACCTTTTGGCTTAAATCTGAAGTTTCATTTATTTAGAAATAAAGACCTAATAATACAGCAATAAGAGTCAAAATTTGGGCATTATACATTTTGAAAATTTCGATTTGTTTATTTCTGTTATGGATTTTCTCACTGATTGGTCTGTGAATTTGGGTTGTGCAGAAAGTATGGCTAGATAAGATTGCTGGTGGTGTTTGCTTATCCATTTGTTCAAAGGGGTTGGCCATAACCGGGATAGATGATAGAAGATACTGGAATCATATCCCATCTGAGGAATCTAGGTGAGTGTCGCAAAAACAATCTCTTATACTTGGTTTGGGAAAATGAATTTGAAAGTTGTTAGTTTTTCATGCATTTTTTAGATGGGCTGATCAAGTTCAAGTTGATCGCGGCATTTTCTTGTCGAAATCAGTCAAAGTAGGTCCTTTTGTTATCTGCCTTTTATTTTTCATGTTCATATGAATTCTATGAATCTTGAATTTCTATTTGAAAGAATTCAGGATGTTTTAGTATTAGGTTCCTGTTTTTTCAAACTAGGTGGAATTTTAGCTATCCATTAATCCAGAAATCGTTTTGGTATAGCAGTGGGTTCATTGATCCGGAATGGAATTCATTTCAACTTCCATATATTCATGTTTTGTATAAAAAAGAACGCATTTGACTCCTATACTTAAAGTTCATTTGTATGAGACAGTAGGTAAATTAGAATTGGTATTGATCTCCAGTCCCTTTGCTTGTAGATTCCACTCCATTGCATACCTTCAACAAATCTGGTGGTTCGAGGTTGATGGACAATTTGAGTTTCCATTTCCCGCGGGAACTTATAGCCTATTCTTCAGACTACAATTGGGGCGAGCTGCCAAAAAGTTTGGTCGGCGCATTTGCAATGCAGAGCATGTTCATGGTTGGGATATAAAACCAGTGCGGTTTCAGCTATGGACAGGTGACGGTCAGTATGCTTCTTCCCAGTGTTTTTTAACTGATCCTGGGAAATGGAATCTGTATCATGTTGGGGACTTTGTCGTTGATAGCACAAATTTATCAATGAATCTTAAGTTCTCCATGACCCAAATCGATTGCACGCACACAAAAGGCGGTCTTTGTTTGGATTCTGTAGTAGTATACCCATGTAAATTCATAGAAAGGTTAAAGCATTTTTGAACCGCGTTGTAACCTTGTAGACAAGAAGGATATTTCTAGTGAGTTAGAGCATCCTTGTAAGAGTAGTTTCATTTGTAGGCCTCGTTGTATGAGTTGAATTGCAGGCAATTTGTGTATATTGCCAATTTTTGTTGATTGATAAGTGTGTCTTTTTCTTTAATGAAGAGCTCTTCTTGTACAGAACTTGATCAAGTCACTGCTGCTTGTTTTTCAGGAGTGGTAACCTTGCCATTTAGCAGAAAGATACTTTTTTGGATTCATGGACCGTTTTTTTCTTTTTTTGTGAATTGTCTTTGAATGTGAGTTTCTGGTTGAGGAATGATGAGGGGGAAAAATCAAAGAAAGGGTTTTTAAGTTTGTTTTGGCTCTTTCTGTATCTTGGCCACCGGTTTTGTGGCAAGAAGACAATCCATTTACTGTATCCGACTGTCTTTGTGGAAAGCATTTCCCGTGGAAATTTTCATTTACAATTGAACATTCAACCTTCTAAGTTCTTTTCATTCAAATAAACTTTACATTTATCTATCTGGCATAGGGTCCAGAGATAATATTCATATAGATCGAATATTTGATCTCTTATTTAATAAATCTGAATTCTTTTTATTTAAACTAACTTATTTTACATTAACCTATCTGACACAAATCCAAAGATAACATTTTCCCTTATATTCAGTATACAAGCATTAACCTATCTGACACAAATCCAAAGATAACATTTATCTATTTGGGATAGAGTCCAGAGATAATATTCATATAGATCGAATATTTGATCTCTTATTTAATAAATCTGAATTCTTTTTATTTAAACTAATTTATTTTACATTAACCTATCTGACACAAATTCAAAGATAACATTTTCCCTTATATTCAGTATACAAGCATTAGTGAAGCAAAAATTTGAAGACAAAATACGTTGAGTCTTAACTGTCTGTACCATACTGATTTCTATTGGAGTCCCATAAAGCCAGCTGTCTATCAATTCAATAATGCAGACAATCTTGTACTGAAACCATTCTCTCTTGCACCTACGTCTTAGAATCTCTCAAGTTTCTTTTTCACAGCTCAAAAAGAAAATAAATTGGTTTTCCAAATATTGGATTCATTTCCAAGAAGTGACCTTAGAAATTAGCAGAAGGACCATTTTATCCGCACTCTTTTTTGTTTGTTTTTAGCTTCATATTCCAAGGGCCACAATTGCTACTTTAACTAACGACAAATGTGTAGTTCTGCACTTAATCATGGAAAGTCTTGAAAGTAACACAAAGCACTGTGCATACAATCTATAATTTTGTTTTGGATTTGCATTTGCAAAATATTTGTATTTAATTTATTGCAAAATTGTTTGCTTTTATGAATTTATATTGAAATATATTTCATAAACTACAAGAAAAGCTGATTAAATTATTTTGACATTTGATTTGAATACAAATTTCATGAAAAGCTATTCTAAATTTATTTCACAATTATTTAATTTCAAAGCTTGTGAAGATTTTTAAAATTTAGGTTCTGAATTATTCAATTGTACATGAAACTCCTAAGGAAAGAAAATCAAACTTCATAGTAAATGTTTTGTTATCATTAAGTACATTAAGATGCTAAAACATATCTCGAACTAAAAACATTTCTGCATTGTATGGAAATCCACAATGTATAAAGTAGTCAGACATTAGAATCCAAAATCAACAAAGGGTAGAGATAATATAATAGAATAGTAATAATCATATTATGACTGGGGGATGTTGCTTTACACTTGCTTTGCACCTGCTGATCTTCCCTAACAAAACAAGAGCATTATGATACAGGCTTGAAATCTTGCAGATCATGTTGATATACCAAAATCATTGAGAATATAATCAAAATCACAAAAAGAAACTATTATCCAAAAAAAGGCTTCTTCATACCTTCTGTACAGCTACTTTCAACTAAGCATTAATCCCCAATGGCAGAGCCCAAAATAATTATAGACGAAATGAGATGGTCATGTCTTCCAATCATAGCCAATGCTACTTCCATGAATGACTTTGGCAATCTCATTTTCTTTTAACCCATTAAACATAGCCAGGACCTCAGGCAAAATAGACCTTTTCTGCAGAGTTGGTTCTCTTGTGATTCCACAATCCTTGGAAGAGTCCATAAAAGAAGCAGCCTCAACAAAACCACTTGCCTTTGCCACAATGCCACTCTTGGATGTTGTTGCATCACCAGAAGTACCTGTTCCCTTAGCATTCGTCATCTTGCTTGCCAGTACACTATTGATATTATGATTTACTGCTTCCTTCTCAGCCTGATTCATTGCTTCACAATCATTGAACATCTCTAGAAGCAATTTTTGAATCATAGCGTCTTGTAGGTTTCGGGTGCTTTCAGGGAAATGTGAACTTGGACGAGTTAAGTTATGGCTAAAATCCAGTTTCAAGGAATTGGGATCTTGAAATGCTCCCTTGTGGTCAGTAAACATGAATAAACAAGAAGACTCCTTCAATTTGCTAATATTTGAACTAAGGGAGGTTTGTCTTAGCAATTTGCAGTAATCACCAGGATGTGCCAAGGCTGCCTTTTCTGAGCTTGTTAAAAGTCCATCCTTGCTTATGTTTGAGTTATCATTCCCATTGCTGTTATGACCATGAGAAGTAGATGATAAGTTAGTTGCATCAGTTGCCATGCCCTGTAAAATATCAAGCTTTTCCTTTGCCTGAAATTCATCTTTCTGCAATTTGGTCTCAGTAATTTTTTGGGAATAATTCTTCAAGCTCTCTACAGGCAAGCATTAATGTCAGAAATTTTGTTCCAGAGTGAATCAGCAACTACTTCAACGAGTAAATCATTCAATGAGCAGGTCAAAAGAGAAACAATTAATCATGCAGGTTCAAGCAGCTACCACAATTCCCAAAGGCTTCTACCATTCTAATATTTTTTAAAAAATTACCATGTGAATTCAAGAATAACAGATAAAGGACACTCCCGTCCTCCTAGATGCAAGTTCTTGCTTCTTTTTCTTCTTTTTTTGAATGTTTTTTTTTTCCATTTTGGATTTATCACAAAGCATACTAGGCCTTGGGTATCCTATGGATGCTGGCCCTGCCTCATCCTACAAATTCCCTTACCTTGCCTAAACTCAATGGCATTTGAATCCATGACCTCTAAATTGAGTAAAAGGTTCCCCTTGGTGGTTCCTCTTTGCTGCTTTAGTTGAGGCTTTTTAACTAGTTTATTTTCTAAAGAACTGGCCGACTATCATGATATATTCTACGGATGTTAGAGTGGATGTGAATGTAGTAAAGAGCAGAAGTAACATTACATAACCTGCCATAATACAGACCTTGATCAACCATACAGAATAATTTACACGTGTCAGACACATCAAAATTAATCAATAGTAATATGTAGAGTATAATTTACCAATTGGTCCAATTTTATTCTTCCAGCTCAAAGTCATCAAATCTCTCATGCTATTGAAAATGTCAGCTATCTGTTAGATCATTGCAGTTAATACAGAAGATCCTATCTGGAATTAGATAATACTAACAACTCAAAGCAAACCAAATAGTTTTACGCACCTGCAAGCACCGGATGAATCTTTTCGGAAACCCCAACTCTCCAACCAGCTGTATATCAAACTTTTTTCCAAGCTTGCATCCAGCTGACAATAACCTATATGAGATAAATCATCAAGAACCATATTTATTCATGAGACTCATAGTATGCAAGAAACTAGTTGCAAATTTAATAAAAACAGCAGAACACAATAAAGGCCTAAAGCAGGTGATCTAAAACATTCCACTTAGTATTCATTCATGAACAACACATAAACTAATGCTTGTAAATCATCCTCCACTTTGCAATTGACATATATGCAATGCCTGATAGACCAACTCATATTGTCATTCATTGGAAGTAAAAGAGCTCATTAATTCTCACATGGCTTGATTTTCTTCTTGATTGTGTGATGATGTCTTATCCGATCCACCATTGCTAATGGCTGCTTGATATTTTTGTGCAGCATGGACAAACTTATTAACCTGTATACAAGGACCAAAGATTTCATGAATTTAAATATCAAGAGAGTTTCACACCAGTAGGGATAGTAAATTAAGAGCGATTTAATAAGAAAACAAGTGGAATGATGTATGAGTACACTATATATAAGCCCCAGAATGGTTTCCACATAAGTCATCAGATAGTACAGTATCACCTAAGTACCTGTGATGCAATTAAACTTCGATGCAACAGTTCTTCATGGTCCCTTGAGCAGAATTCCCAAGACAGTATCTGAAAAATATGCCAGGTTTATAAAAATTATTGATATCAACGCATTAGATATCAACTGTATGCCACGGGCTATATATAGCTCACCTTCAAATCGAGAGTGAAGACAATGCGGAGTTGGCCCTCTCGAATAATACGAAATTGTTCAAACACAGTTTCATGAACTGCCTTACCATATTCCAACACCATTAACCCAGAAGGGAGTCCGTACTCGCGTGGCAATTCCAGAAATAAAAGTTCATCAAAAATACCACTCTCAAACTGAACTTTATTCAGCCTAGGAAGCATTTCAAAAGTTGCCTCTGCCAAGAAAAAAATGATAAGAAAGAAATTCAATTCCATCAGCAAATTTAGAACACAAGGGGAGAAGGTAAATAAAAACAGGGAATTTAAAAAGATTGGCAATATTTCAGCGGACTTGATAAAAAAAATGGCTGCTTATCTGCTTACCAAACCCCCTTCCAGATTTAGTGCCACATAACTCACACTTCCATGTGTCCTGAAAGACAAAAAAGCAACAAGCTTTGAGCAATGGAAATTGAACGAGAAATAACTATAGTAAGATGCACAAGATGTAAATGCTAGGGATTGGACCATGTAGCCAATGCTTTACAGAATATTTGGATTTACATTAGTATTTTAAGTTTGTGATTAACAATTAACTCATGCATGAAGAACACAAGAAAAAATCATAAAGACTTAGAGGACGAGAAAAGTATATCGGCAGCATTAATAAAACTAACCATAGCTGCCTGCGGGAAGAGATTGATGGCACGAAGTCTAACACTATGACACAAAGACAGACACCACCTTTTTTTAGCACAAGGAGCAAAATACTCTGCCACAAACTTCCTCCAGTAGGCAATTCTGTTTTCCTACAAAGACCAACATAGAAGGAGGAAAAAAGAGTTAGCGCATCTCCAAGATATATTAATACACTGAAGAATTTAGCTGGAGCATAATATTAAAATAGAAGTAATGCATTGACATCTAGAAGTTTTTATCATATCCGAATGGAATAAAATGTCAAATGAATTTTTGATCAAATAAAAACTTACTGGTGGCCGATGCTGCAGATGGTACATGTACTGTGACAGCCTGCGCGAACATATATTACTGTTGATAGGGTGCATTTGATGTACTTGTTGCAACTCCAGCTGTTGTAGGTAGTCCCTCATTTGTTGCTGCCTCTGCTTCTTCATCTCAACTCCTGGTAAGTCTGTAATGAACTGCAACATCTTTTGCTGCCTCTGATGTTCTAGCTTATGTTGTTGAATTAATGTCTGTAGCAATGGAGAATGACTTTGCAATTGCACTTTGTCTCCACTTTGTAGTTGTTGCTGAGCAATATGCTGGTATAGAACAGCATCTTGCTTAATGTCTAATCTCAGTTTTTTACACATCTCATCTGAAGTAGAAAGCTCGTGTTTTTCACCATTAAGAAATGATTTATGACTCTTTCCAGACTGAGATTTGGTACTAAAGCATCCTTGTTGGTGTTTTCTTTTCTTCACCAGAGAGCAGTTTTGGCCTAAATGGAAGTCTTCTTGTGCAATAGACGAATCATTGGTAGTAGAGAATCCTGAAATGCTTGAATTATGTAAAGAGAAAGGTAATACTGGCAAATTAAGTCGATCCATATCAGTAACAGCACTTCTTTGCATATTAGGACCTCTCAAAACAGTTGAGTTGACCCCAGTAAGCGAAGAACCTGTCCCAACACTCAGTTCCAAGTTGGTCAAACTATTTAAAGTAGTTGAATTAGTGCTGGAAGAGATCCCACCCACATTTGGTTGTGGAATTTTAGATGAAATATCTATAGTATTTCCTGACAATGTGCCGAAAAGTGAAGCTAGCATGTCTGGAAACTGCCTGTCTTTTTGTTGCACATTATCAGAATTTGAGGATTGCACCAAGTCTCCACTCACCTGAGATGATTTCATGGAGCAGATTTCCAATGGATAATTGGAATCAATAAGCGCCTCTAAAGCCATCTCCCCTGTAGCTTCACAACAACAGTAAAGTTGCAATGGAATTTATTAATGACTTCTCAAAACAAGATAACCTACAATTAAGTTAAACAAGCACACAACTAAATCTGTTCATCAACAAATCAAATGTTTGTATGCAAGTGGACTCGGAGAGAGAGAGAGAGAGAGAGAACGGACTTTCTCTAACCTGAAAGATCCTATCTAGCTAAGAGGACTTGAACCATGTCATATTGGAAATATACTAAGCACCAACAAAGATGACAGAATACCATGGTTCCCATTTATTTATAACAATGAGTGGGTAGTCCTCTGCACCCAAAGTTCGAACAGAAACGAGAATCTAACAGAAATCACAATAGAGGCTAACCAAACATCTCAATAACAACGAATCATGTGAAGGCAGCATTTGATATGTGGGACAATATTCAATTTTTAAGTCATACAGCGAATGTAATATCATCTTTGCAATTCCAGGATAGTTACACGCGTTTAGAACACTAGTAACGTCAACATAAACGTAAAAAAGGGTCGGGGAAAAGGAAAAACAAACGCGCAGGGACATATATGCATAAATACAGAAAAGTACATGAAGGTTCCAAGAATAGAAATCATCAACAGAGAAATTAATCTTAAACTCTCCACTGGGTTCAGAACCTGTTAATAAGAGGAAGAAAACAAATTTTGCTCACTAATGCTATGAAGAAACAAAGCCTATTTTCAAGGAAGTGACTTTCCTTTCTCCCTCTCCCTCCTTACTTTCTGTTCTGAGGTCAAAAAAAAAAAAAAAAAAAAAAAAAAAAAAAAAAAAAAAAAAAAAAAAAAAAAACTCAATTTTACATATCGTCTTATCTCAAAAAAACTACAATAAAACAATAAATTAATTTAAATAAATAAGTAAACAAACTTTTAAGCCCAACTCTTTCAGTAGTAAAGAGCACCCGTTTTGACTAAATACCTAAAACGAAATGGATCAAATTTCCAAACTTTAGCCTTTAACTCATCATTTTCCGTCCAATTTTCTATAGCAACCAAACCGTCATTCCTTTGGCAAAAAAAAAAAGCTAAAAAATGAAGCAATGAATGTTGGTGGCTCATTTGTTTCAAAGTCCAGAAAAATGCTTCGAAATGGTAAACCGCAGTAAAAAAACGAAAAGAACCAAACTTTAAAATTGATTAACTGAAGTAGGACTATATAAGCTAACCTGATATTCGATTTCCAAGCTGTTTTGGAGTTGGGTCTCTACTTCCAAGGTGGTTGTACGCTACCGCCAAGTCCAGGACTAATAGAGTTTTTTTTTATTTTATTTTCCTTTTGTCTCTTTCTGCATTTTGATTTTATCCCAATTTTTCGGGCTGAAATTATATCGAGAGCGGGAAGAAGCAGTCCCAAGGACAGGCACATGGTGGGTTGTGACCGGTTGGTGCCGGTTTTGATGAAACCAGGTGCCGTGAGCCTGTATAGCTCAGGTTTACACGTGTTAACCAAGGACAAGCAAGTAGACCTGTCTACATCACAAGGAGCTTTGCTCGTTTATTACAAAATGAATATCCTCATTAAAGTTTTGTCCATTTTCTTATTCTCTTGTCTCTTCATTTTTTCATTTTGCTTTTCGTCTTTCTCCTATTTTTATTTTTTTAATAAAAACAATTTATTGTCAAAAATTTAAATCATTTGTTAATTAAATATCTAGCATTTTTGATTTTTCACCGAATACTGAAATTTTTTTATTACGCATCAATTATGCCTTCTATTACCACATTGTTGACTGTTAAACAAGTTAATTAACTTCGACTTTTACAGTGTTCAACAATAATGACCCGTTTTAACAGGTCTTTTATTTAAGGTATCAAATAATCAAAAATAATAATAATAATAAATGTCTCTTTACATATAATTTTCAATTAAATATAACTACGGCTGCCCCAAAAAAATAAAAAAAAATAGAACTTAATAAATGCACTCTCATTAAAAAAGAAACAAAATACGTATGATCTATAAAAAAATTAGGAAAATATTTAAAAAGTTGTTGTTAGAATGAAATTAAGGTTGAGGAAATAATTCTTGCAATTGGACATGAGATGCAAAACAAGGCGTAAAGTGTCCGGCAATAACAAGACACATGTAAGATGGAAATGAATCCATGTTCTGATCTTAAAAGCCCTAGAAAATACTTATACAATATGGCTTATTTGTCTTATGTCCTTGTCTCCTCCTCAACGTAATTAACAAATAAATTAGAGAGGAAAGGCAATTCTACTGTATCACTTGCTAACAGAAACCGTTGCTAACAAAAATATGGTCCTTTTTCCGTTGATCAGCAAAGCAGAGTTTCACCCCAAATGCACTAGGCCGACGAATTTGCACCTGTCCAACGCCTAGTTGGATGGAAATTTAATCAAGTATGACAGAGGTTTAAGGAATGCAAACAGCTGACAAATTCATTAGCCTTGGGTTGCTCCTATTGCTTGACCTGCGATAACGGCAATGAATCTGTGATCCTTCGATGCCATTCTTTTCTCCCTCTTTTTCTCAATAAAGGACTGAGCTTTGCCAGATCACAATAATCATATTACAATATGCGATAATGTAGCAAAACCATGTAGCAGTGTGGAATAGAGTTGGTCCCTTGTGTAAACATTTTAAATTGCTTATATTTCGCATTTTTGCAGGTGAATTGTAACCTTAAGTTTGTTGAATTCCTTGATTTTAGCCTTATGGTTCCTTATTTCAGGTGCAAAGAACAAAGTAAGTCAGAGCAGGTCAGCATTCCAAATGTAGTGTTAATTTTGAATGGATGGCAAAAGTATTACAAACACCTTAGCCATGATTCATTCATTTGTAAATGTAGAAACCACTATTATCAATTGAAATATTGGGCTATGTCGAATGCTCAAGGTTCACTACCTTCCATTGAAATTAAAAGAAGTATGAGAGGATCAACAATCCAGAAGGTACTTTTGTAATAGCACAAGAGAAGATGACACCAAAATACATATGTTAAGACACAGACACAGAGGGAAAACATTACATTTCTTTAGATAAAAGGGCTTTGTATTTGGACTTGCCTTTGGCCTGCTTCTCTCTCTTTCTTCTTGTGCTCAGACAGTATAGAGCATCCAGTTTGGTTTTTTTGACTCAATTTTTTAACTGTTTTTATCCTGTTAAGACGGTTGGTAGAAAGAGGAAATCAAACAAGGTTTAGACAGTTAATAAATCTAGTAGACATATGATCAGATTTGGAGTAGCAATTACCAGAAAAGCAAGTAACTTACAATCCAGATATAACGGTTCTTCATTGAATCAATGACTCTTGGATCATTGGATTTGTTTCAAATTGCTTCTTTATTCCTTTATATCCAAAAGTAAAATTTATTAATATGCGAAAAAGCATAAATATAGAAACCTGGGAAACCATATTTTTTCCCTCAGTGAATTTATGAATACTACCTCTTTTTCAGCTTGGAAGATGTCCTCAAATAGAAAATTGTACCTTTTCCTAAACCTACAAAAATCAAACAAACAATCATTGGAATACAACTGCGAGAGAGGGACCACAAAGAGATGTGTACAAAAGAATAAAATTCACTAAATCGATTTTTACCACATACAAAGCAAGAGATAACTTTGCTAATAAATTCAAAAAAAGGTTGTTCAACTTTAAAGACAACCGAACTACTATATCAAAAATAATATATATATATTTTGATTTGAAATTCAAAAAAAAAAAAAAAAAAGCACAATGCAAAACAAATATCTTATTACTGTACTGTTATATCGAAGAGTCATCAATCACACAAATGCAGCAACATAAACACTTCAAAAACCTTAATCAGCTGCTCAATCTCTATATCGCATCCTGGAATCTTTTTTCTTTTACTCCCCTTTATCCTATTCTCCTCCAAACAAAAAAGTTTTTATTGCAGCTTCCCAAATTTGAGTCAGCACAGGACCATCAAAAAAAGCAAAATTATACAGTTTCTTTAAAACGTTATATAGGAAAAAGTTTGGCTCTACCCCTCACATCAAGATTACCAAGACAAAGACTCAAAAGGCGGGGATCACGTGTATCACCTGTCAATACAAATAACTATTTTAATGGGCCTATGAAATGATCCCATCTTAATTGGCTAAAAAAAAGTTAAAGAAGAGCTGCTAATAATTATTCCAACATCATGATTTTCATAGATAGGTTGAAACTGTGACAAAAACCTCAATTTCATACAGCAGCAGTGAAACTGAAAAGCCAAATTACAATGACAAAAGCAGCTAGAATCAACTTGGGGAATAATCAAAACACAAGGTTTCGTGTTATATATATGATATATATATATATATATTATAATATATATATATATATGATATATAGGTGATTTTCTTCTGTGTTTTCACTCGGTTTTAAGGATATATGTAGAAAGGTCAAGCGCACAAAAATCCATCTTCCTATCCTAATCTCATTTCCTTTCGTCATAAAATTTCCTTATAACTTCGTCTTTTAATAGCATTCCCTGGAAATCATTAACCTTTTTTAGGAAGCTTGAACAAACCTCTCGGAACGCGACCACAGGCTTCTTGCAACTAGCTTCCACCGGCCTACACATCAAACATGGACATCAATCACCAACTACTAGATAATAAAATGAAAAAGCAAATGCCAATAAAAAGCGCAGACGCCAATTCTCAATAAATACCTATTTTTATTCCGCTCTCCCAGACTTTTTTTATCTTGCTTGGGCTTTGAATAAACCGTAACAGCCGTTAGACCTTGCCCCCCTTCCCCTGTAGGCTCCCTCAAGATGTAGCATCTGCAATTTCCTCCTCTATCTCGCTCTCCTACAGATGGAAATTTAAATAAATAATTGATAATTGATTTCCCATTGGAAAACTATACAGTCGTTTAAAGAATTTAATTAGTAAAATACTGACATCTTCCTCTGACGAAGAAGAAAGAAGACAATAATTCTGCATCTTCTCGCTTTCCCACAGACCGTCTTACTGCTAAGAAGGGGCAATTGAATTTGTTGGATTTCTTCATTTGAGTGTTTTTGAGAACGAATCGAAAACTAAATTCAGTGAAAACCAGAACACTGGAAGCTTTTTTGAGGTATAAGATGGAGTGCAGACCTGAATAGAAAAGGAATTTTAGGTTTAATCGGCCGAATAAGCTTGATAATCCAAAGTGGTTGATCCGAAAACCCATCCGAATGATATAAATAACATTGGCCCGATCACAGCCCAATGGGCAATTCACATTGTTCAGAATACCTTTTGAATTTGGGCTTAATCCTTAAGATGTCCAAATGTTTAAGTTGTGGTGGCTGATAATCAAGGGAAAAGTTTCCAGCTAAGTTTGCAGACGACAAGAAAAGATTTCTCTGTTGTTCATGGAGTTAAGGAAAAAGTTTTCCTCCATTTGGATTTTCCCCTGTCGTTTGCAATTGGAGTTAAACAGCTTTCCTTGTCAGTCAAAATAAAAGATGAACAAC